GGTGCTGACAGGGACACAGGGGAAATGCTGTTCATCCTCCGGGCCCTGGCCCACGGCGCAGTGCTGTGGTGGCACGCTGGGCAGGATGGGCTTGAGGAATTTGAACTCGCTGTTGCCCGAGCCCGTTGTGAGGCTGATCTCGTAGCAATAGGCGCGGGGCAGGCTCCCTGCAGCGGCCCCATCGGCCAGGCCGCTCTGCAAGTTGTCGGCACCATAAAGCACATGGCCAGCCTTCAGCTCCTTTCTCTTGCACACCTTGCGAGCCACAAAGAGTGCGGTGGAGACCAGGAAGAGCAGGGAGACACACACCAGGGCAATGATTAAATAGGTGGTGAGGGAGCCAGCCTGATCCTCTGGCGCCGGGCTGCTGTGCCCGGGGAGGCGCACGTCTGACAAGTCCTTGAGCAGGAGCGCGCTCACAGCTGCCGTGGCCGACAGGGGCGGCTTGCCGTTGTCTCTGACCAGGACAAGGAGCTTCTGCCTCACGCTGTCTCTCTCCGTCACCGGCCTCCTCAGACGCACCTCCCCGCTGTGGACACCCACCGTGAACAGCCCTGGCTCGCTGGCCCTCAGCAGGTGGTACGAGAGCCACGAGTTCTGCCCGGAGTCGGCATCCACGGCCACCACTTTGGTGATGAGGTAGCCCGCCTCGGCCGACACGGGCACCAGCTCACTGGACGCTGGGCTGCTGTCCTGGCCTGGGTACAGCACGAGCGGGGCGTTGTCGTTCTCGTCCAGCACCACGAGGCGGACGCTGACGTTGGCTCTGAGGGGAGGAGAGCCCGCGTCAGAGGCACTGACCGTCACCTCCGTCTGCCTCAAGCGCTCGTAGTCCAGGGGCCGCAGCACAAACACGTGCCCGTTCTCAGAGTTCACAGACACGCACGAGCACCAAGGCCCCTCTGCCGCCTGCACCGCTGCCAGCGAATAGCTCACCTTGCCATTGAGCCCCACGTCAGCGTCGGCAGCGCTGACGGCTCCAACAAACACCGTGGGCACATTGTTCTCACGCACGTACATGGTGTACGACGTCTGGTTGAAGACGGGGGCGTTGTCATTGACATCCGAGATGTCCACGGTGAAGGTCTGCGTGCTCGTCAGAGGAGGCGACCCCGCGTCTGCCGCCGTCACCCTGAGGATGTAGCGAGCCGTCTCCTCGCGGTCCAGCGCGCTCACTGTCACCAGCTCATAGTAATTCTTATAGGCTGGCCGCAGCGAGAAGAAGCGCTGATCCTCGAGGCCACACGAGATCTTCCCGTTGGCCCCAGAATCCCGGTCCCTGACCGTAAACAGGGCAACCACCGTGCCGGGCGCTGTGTCCTCGGGGAGGGGACTGCTGAAGGAGCTGACCACCACCTCTGGGGCATTGTCATTCACATCCACCACCTCCACCAGCACTTTGCAGATGGCTGAGAGTCCCCCACCATCTGTGGCTGTTACACTCAGTTCGTGACTTTGTACTGCCTCAAAGTCCAGAGGTTTTGTGATTTTAATTTCACCCGTTATGGGATCAATCACAAATATTGAGACACTCTGGTCCGCAGCTTCACTTAGTTGGTAGGAAATTTCCCCATAGACACCTGCATCCTGATCTGTTGCCAGCACAGTCAGCACTACAGACCCTTCTGGCATGTTCTCCAAAACCTTCACAATGTAACGCTCTTGCATGAATGTCGGAGCATTGTCATTTGCATCCAGAATAATAATAGAGATCTCGATGGTGCCACTTCTAGGAGGAGAGCCCCCATCTACAGCAATGACACTAAAACTCATCTCTTCCTGCTCCTCTCTGTCTAGTGGCTTTTCCAAAACAAGTTCAACATATTTGTCATCCTCACTTTGACTTCCATAGGAGACGCTGAAATAATTATTCTCGGGAGAGATGCTGTATGCCTGGACTGTGTTGCTGCCAATATCGAGATCCTGAGCCACCTCCAACGGGAAACGTGAACCAGGGTTGCTCGTTTCAGGGATCCTAATTCTTAATCGATCTTCTCGGAAAACAGGTGAATGGTCATTGATATCCTCCAGAGCCACCTCGACCCGAAAGAACTGCAGGGGGTTGGAGAGCAGCAGCTCGAAGGGGAGCATGCAGGTGGCGGACTGGCCGCACAGCTCCTCCCGGTCCAGCCTCCCCGCCACGAGCAGGCGGCCGGAGCCGCGCTCTAAGGCAAAATGCTGCCGGCCGTCCTCCGACACCAGGCGGGCGCGGCGAGCCGAGAGCTGCGCCGGCGTCAGCCCCGCGTCCTCCGCCAGCTCGCCCACCAGGGAGCCGCTTTCCGCCTCCTCGGCTACGGAGTAGCGGATGGGCTCGGCGCGAGCGGGCGGCAGCCACAGGAAAGCAGACAGACAAAGCACTTGCCTTGCGATCGCCATGGCGCGGCGGCGGCGGCGGCGGCGGCCGGGGTCGGTGTGGCGGCTGTCGCCGGTGATTCCCCGCCGAGAGCGGCCAAGCGCGGGCCGGGCGCCTTCTCTCGCTGCCTCC